GGCGCCGTTTTGGTTAAAAAAACGCGCGTCCCACTTAAAGAAGAAATCAGGTTCGATTCCCGACAATAGCATTTTTATATATCCAAAAATTCATAACTATATAACCACAATTTCATAACTATATATCCACAATTTCATAACTATATATCCACAGTGAATGAATGAAGTAAAAATTCACAATGAATGAATGAATGAAGTAAAAATCCACAATGAATGAATGAATGAAGTAAAAATCCACAATGAATAAACTAAATATCCACAATATATGATTGAACTAAATATCCACAATGAATGAACTAAATATCCATAAATTCATAACTATATAACCACAATTTCATAACTATATATCCACAATTTCATAACTATATATCCACAGTGAATGAATGAAGTAAAAATCCACAATGAATGAATGAATGAAGTAAAAATCCACAATGAATGAACTAAATATCCACAATATACGATTGAACTAAATATCCACAATGAATGAACTAAATATCCATAAATTCATAACTATATAACCACAATTTCATAACTATATATCCACAATTTCATAACTATATATCCACAATAATGCTATTGCTGAGAGTCGAACCTGATTTTTTTTTTTTTTAAGTGGGACGCGCGTTTTTAATCAAAACGACGTCGTTTTGAACCGTATGCACCATGCGCATGGTACATTCGGTTGCACAGCATAACTATTGTTGTAGGCCTGTTAAAATGAGTCGAGTAAATTTGGCCCAGTAACTTCCACAAGTGATGCTCACATGTCACTCCAGGTGGCTCTGACATGGCGTTAGGGTTTTAAATTTGGAGCGAGCACAGGGCAGTTATTCTCTAGGGTTTAAGAATCTTGTTGAGGGTTCTTGCACGAGGAGGAGCTCAGCAATGGCGTTCTGGGGTCAGTTTTTTGTTTTTTCTTTTTCTTTTAAATCAATTCGATTCCATTTGATAAGAAATGTATGTATAAAATAGAAATGTTGCGTTTTAAAGCATGAATCTCTCTGAATTTTCGTCCAGGAGTTGAATTGAAACCAGGAAAGCCATACACTCTTCGTTTGGATGGCGATAGAGGAAGGCTCCATCTTTCTCAGGTTTGTTTCGAAATGTTGGAGCTCTTTGAACTGTATTATTTTTGCTTATTGTCGAGCTGATAGGATATTCGGAATCTAGTTTTCATTTGACTGTTTGAGTTTGTGTAATAAAAGCATGTCTCCGAACTTTATTGTATTGTTTCTAAATTTCTCTTAGCTTGTTTTGAGAATGGAATCTGTGACCTGTTTAGGTTTAATTTATGTGTGTGTGTGTGTTTCACTTTATTGAAGAGAAGAATGTATTATTCAAGTGGCTATGATGTATTATATTCTGAATAATTGGAAAATTTCAAGAAATGATGTGTCCTGAGCAATGGCTGGGATTACATAGAGGACTTCGTCATCAGTCTAGCATTAGTTTTGAAAAAGTAACAGGAATATTCATCTGAGCACTTCTTTGTATATTACGGAGTATAATTTTTGCTCCATTATCCCTCGAAACTGAAATCTGTTTTTCCTTTTTAAATTTTAGTTAATTTGAATTGAAAAACTACTATAGTGTTCTCTTATATCTTCTGTTTAACTGTGACTATAGAAGTTATAGAAAAAGGATTAATTACAAATTCTTTTTTATTTTTATTTGGTCATGTGAATGATTCAGGCAACACTAGGCACCGGTTCATCTAACAAAAAGAGCATAGTTCAATGTGTCGTTGGAGACAAGAAACCAATTTATTTGTGCAATTTGTTGCCTGAAAGACTTGAGACTTGTCCTTTGAATCTTGAATTTGAAGAGGAGGATGAAGTTACATTCTCGGTTAAAGGCCATCACCATGTTCACCTCTCTGGTTTCTTTTTGGGTGAGAGTCATGATGATTGTGATGGAGATGAATATGAGTTGTATCCTTTTGTCTCTCTATTTCATACAGTCCAAATTTTTTATTTTTTCTTGGATTTGGTTTTTACTTTCTTCTTAGTCCCTTTTAATTAATTATTAGTGATTTCCTTGACATTGATATAAAGTGATCCATATGAGGGTGGTTTCGTTGAGGGTGACAGCGATGAAGATGATTCTATTGATTATGATTCTGAGGGTGAAGATGATGAAGATGATTCTGATGATGATCTTGATATGTACCCAACTTCACCAGTCCCAAACAGTGGAGGTAATCACTTGTTCCAGCTAAGGAGAATCATATAATATGGTTGTTTACACATTATTGGTAACCTAATTGTTTGTTTATCCTGCAGTGCTTAGTTACTTCTTTCTCTGGCTAATCTAGTTTTTTTGTCTTATAAAAGTAAAAATTGAGGAAATCGTGGAGGATAAAAAACCTGCTGATGAGAGTGATCTGTCCAAGGGGCCAAAAAAGAAGAAAAACCAACCTTCTGAAGGCCATGAAAACTCGGATAAACAGATAGTGGTCAAGAGCAATAACAGTGTTCCTGTTTTGGAGAGTGAAGATGAAGATGGGTTTCCAATATCTACTTCCCCTAAGAGCAACTCTGATGCAGTGACCAACAAATTGAAATCACAAGAAAATGAAGATCATGAAACAGATCAAAAAGTCCAGAAAGGAAAAAGAAAAATTGATGCTGTTGACCAAACCTCTGGATCTGAAAAGTGAGTTTCCCACATAAACCTGCCTTGCAATATTTTAGATCCATTAAGTTGCTAGTGTTTTTTGCCCCGGTTTCATTTTTACTTTTATTATTGTTATTATTTTTTTGGTTGCATTCAACTCTCTCTTTGATAATGTGTTTGTTGGCTAATGTTTTAAATTGTTATAAAAAAACAACCTCTTTCTTTTAATATTTCTTTGGATTTTTTTGAATAATTATTACAGTTTATTCTCTTCTGCATGGCAAAGCAAAAAGTTTGTCAATTATTAAACTCTTTAGATCAAGAAATGTTTTCATTCTTGAATACAGTACTAAGCAAAAGAAGAAAAACAAGAAGAAAACATTGCCAGATAGAGAGGATGCTGATTTTGATGATAAAGAGCATGCTCCAGCAGCTGAAACGGAAAATAATGAGAAGCCAACTAATGCAGTGTGAGTTGTGTGATCTGTCCTATATTATTCTGCATCATCACTATTACTTAAATGTGTGTTCTTCATCATAATAACTTCAGTGTCTGTTTTCTTCTTCTGTGCTGTTAAATTTACTTATCATCTGCTTAGCTGCTGACAGAATAATTGGCAAATTGGCACTTTATTTATATCATTTAAACCTAAGTGCCTATCTTCATTTGCTTTGAGTCACAATTAACAATCGTTAAAGAGGTTGCATTGTTCCTGGTCTCAACACTGATTTTTTTTAAAATGAATGTCCAGTGAGACAGAGAAAAAGAAGAAGAAAAAGAACAAGAAGAAGCAGGATAGTGGAGCAGCCATTGACGTACAGCAGAGTGGTGGCAAAGAAATTAAGTCCCCTATGGTTGTAGAGGAGAAAGCTGACATTAAGCCTTCACAAATGAGAACCTATCCTAATGGATTGGTCATAGAGGAGTTATCAATGGGTAAACCGGATGGTAAAAGAGCTTCAGGTGGAAAGAAGGTGACTATTTTTGTTTGCCAATTATTTATCTTTGTAATATCTTATCTTGTAGTCTTTCCCTATTTGTAACAAAAGGATAAAATAAGAATAATGTATATGTAATCCATCTTAAAGTTGGTACTATATGGCTGAACATTACAATAATAAAGAATCAAGAGTGTCCATCAATCCAAAAACAAACTAAATTGTTGCCAAGAGAGTCATGCAATTGTGCTCAGGCATTATGTTCAAATACTAAAACCAATATTCTTGACAAAAGTTAAACTGAAACACAGAGGACAAAGCTTGTTGAAGTTTATATGTATAATATGTAAATTGAATGCAGACTATATGTGAATTACTTTTTTGTTTTCAACTTGCATAACAAAAATTTTCCCATTTGCACAGGTTAGTGTCCGCTACATTGGCAAACTGAAGAAGAATGGCAAAATTTTTGATTCAACTGTTGGCAAAGCACCCTTTAAATTCCGTTTAGGTATGTTTCTTTTTCCTGATGAAAGCATGTATGAAATTTTGGTTACTCCAAATTTACTTGTGCACTTTCTGGTTTACAGGTATTGGTCAAGTTATAAAGGGATGGGATGTTGGTGTGGAGGGTATGTATATCTACTACCTTGGACAGGATCATTGTCTCTGGTGATTTGACTCTAAACAATTCACTGAAAACTAATATATATCCTATCCAATCATCAGGCATGCGTGTAGGAGATAAAAGAAGACTCACAATTCCTCCAGCTATGGGGTATTCTATAACTTTCTCTTTGTAGAATTATTATGTAATTCATAAATGTTCAAGCATTTTAGTGGCCAGATCGGAGTTATAAAGTTGAATCCTCTTTTCTGACATTACGTCAACAACAACTTATCCTCATTTTTATTTTTATTTTCCCTGACTGCAGTTACGGGGCAAAAGGTGCTGGCGGGGCTATACCACCAAACGCATGGCTGGTTTTTGATGTTGAGTTAGTTGACGTAAACTGATCATGGACACATCATGCATTCTTCTGTAGGGGATTTTTGGAAGAGTCAAAATCTATTGTTTTTTATTTTCCTATTGAGAGATTATTTCCTATACAATTTTTTGCTCGAACGATCCTGATTTTGTAAGTGTGGATACCGAGTCTGAACAAAACTTAGTGATGATATATGAATATATCCACATTCAGGAAAATGTGATACAACTTCTAATGCTGTTTGATTGTAATACTAAATCGTGCAATTTCATGCTTATAAAAATCAAGAATGTATTGGTTCATAGTTTTGATGTTTGAATTCTCTTATTTACCAGTAGAACTGTTATTTTCAGCACAGAAATGAGGAAGCGAATGATGTTTTCAACTGCCGATATTGCTGGTAAGTAAATCAGGTGGCTTAAACTATGTAAAAGTTTCAACTGCCGATATTGTTGGTAAGTAAATCAGGTGGCTTAAACTATGTAAAAGTTAGAGCGATAGCAAAAGTTTCATACAATCAAAATTACCCAAGTTTCTACTTCAATACAAGAAAACAAATAGCTGAAGGAATCCTCGTGGATGAGAGCACACAGAACAAAGGTGATACATCAGAAGAACCTAAGAGAACAGTAAAATCCTGAGCTAATCTAAGACGACTCTTATGCTCTCTATAAGCAGGCAGCCAGTAGCCTCGTGTAGTCGTGTCAAATATTGGTCAAAAGGGGAAAGTGAGCCTAAGATTTCTGAGTTAATGTTACAGGCGTACAGCGAGATGTACAACAACAGGCAGGCTGTGTAATCAGTACGAGACCTCACCTTTCGATGGGCTTTGGTGGTCTCTAGGCGCATCCTCCCGGGAGAAACAGATATTGTTGTTTTCGTCAATTGCGGATATTCTTGACCCCTGTATGGAATTCAAAGAGGGCAGGTTGTCCCTGTGAAAGGTAGCAGCAGAAGTTGCGAGATTTGGACTTTGCCCACTGTGGGCTCCATCGCTTTTTTCATCAGAGATCGGGTTGGATGGGATAGGGTTGTAAACTGGCGTCATCTGAACTCTCTGTTTCTTGGGTTTTTGCTCCAGATGGTGGCCGGGAAGAAAGCTGCCAACAACGACCTGATGCACCCAAGAAGTTCAGATCAATATTGCATTTCCATGCCACGACACCAGAAATGATAAACTAAAAGGAAACGTAACATACGCAACTAAGCAAGCTGCAAAGGACACGCATTAATGCATTATATTATAGAATGTTTTTGATAGTTGCAAAATATCGTGTAGAAGATACAATGTTGTTTAATGTTTATTTCTCGTGTTGCAAGGGTTGTCATTGATGCCATGAATGATTCATATCACGGTAAAATTTCTCCGTAAAAGGTTAAAAGCATTTTTAAAAGTGAAAGACACTTAAAAGGTTGATTGATGGGACCAAACCTGGACAGGCCCAGCTGCAACTAACATGCCTGCAAGTCCTCCCCCGAGAACTCGACCATCAGGGCCTGAGAGAGAGACACTCATTCCACCAGACCTACTTTTCGTTAACCCATTATCACTAGGCATAAACGATCCCGTTAGAGAGAGAATTTCAAAGCGGCCCTGTAGAACGAAATCATGCTTTAGAAACAGATTATCTTGAGAAACAACTTTTAAGCTCTTCAGTGTTTTGTTATAAGCTTAATAATATATCATTCTGCCATATCCCCCCGCAAATCATATTCCAAAAAGTGATAGACTCGCACCTCATATGTTAAAGTACCACCAGAAGAATTAGGCTGACGAAGGGTAACGTTCGAAATTGCACCATTTGCAGCCAACACGCAAATAGCTCTCGACCCTTGTTGAGCAAACGAAATGATTTTCATTGAAATATCCTGCAAGCACAGAATTTCCTCAGAACATGTTAGGCGAGACAATGGCAGTATTTGGTAACGGTAATTCCATCTGATTATGGATTGTAAAACACATTTTAGGTTATATAAGCCAACAATTTATATGCAACTTGGAGTTCATATGAATTACTGAACAAACATGATGTTCTTGGGCAATAATTATCGAGTATAAAGATGACTGCTACGTACTGGGAAGTATCCAGAACAACGTACATCTAATACCATCAAAGTTCAAGACAGCAAAAATGACAATTTTAGAACATAATTCCTTAAATCCATATGGACACTCCGTTTTAATTACAGTTTTTATGTTGCCAAGTATAAAGAAATGTTAAAGAATGTACATTTAATATGCGGTAAAGAATTTTTAAAAAAAAATAAAAAAATTGGCTTACCTCTCCAGCACTAACAGTTATAACATGAGGAGTAAAATTTCCGCCAACAGAGTATGCCATCCGATCCCCTAAAGAAACATATATACATACATTTAACATGTATCAGAAACATTTGTGTCAGAACTAGAATGTACAAAAAGTACAGCAAACTGGAGAATAGAAAAGCACGAATTACATAAATCCTATTTAACCATTCGAATACTAACACGGTTGCATACATAATATTCTTCAAATCAGTGGGATTCAGTGATATTCCAGGAACCATATTTCTGTGTCAGACCCACACATCGGGTCACATCACCTGTCATAATTGTCCATAGAACTTCTTTATAAATCATCTCTCTTTTTATCTGTAACAATTATTAGATAAAGACAGGTATTTTCTGTTGACGTCAGTTAACCAGACATCTTATCAGACACTAAGAAAGAATCTAAGATGACCTTAATCCGCTAAGGACCTGACATCAGCCACTCCATTCCCCCGGGAAGGTGGAGGATCTAGCGAGATCACCCCGTATCTAGAATCTTCTTTGAGACCACTACTGCCATGAAATCAAGTTGCAGAGAATATTTGTGGTCCCAGTTCAGTCCCCATTTAATTACTCTCGATTCTCGAATTGTTCATTCGACTAATGGAAAGCAACAGATCCCCATAGCGCAATCATACAGAACAATTAGTGGCCAGGTAGATCTAGTATCTCGACATTATAAGTGGACATAAGCTACTATGTTAAAAATTAAAATCCCATGATGTCTTTTATCCAACTCCAATCTGACTGACAATGACAATATATCAAGATTCAAGAATTCAAGAATTCAAGATCTTGATTAGCATTAGATCACAGGGTAATTAAAAATTCAAACTTTAAAAAAGGATTCTTACCTGGACTTTCAAGCTCAAGCTTATGTTTCTTCTTCTTCTTGGAGGGTTCAGTGGGGCGATTTGTACTGTGTTTCCAGGCTGCATAATCTCCAGTAAGAGGAATTGAAGCTGATATTGGCATTGGTGATAAAGCCATGGTTACTGAACCATCTTGTCCATACTTCCTAGGTCTTCCCCTCTTCTTCTTCCCTTCTCCTCCTGAAGGTGGTGCTGCTCCGGCCACACTCCCCGGTGTTGCCGCCGTGGTGGCGGTGGCGGCGGCGGCCGCCGTTGATCCACTTAACTGGCTGTGATTTTCATTCCTGGGACCCACCTGAAAGCTCTCAGAACCTCCATCACTTTTCACTACTGTGCCACTCCTTGAAGCAAACTGAAAGCTCTCAGGAGCCACATCACCTTTCACTATGGCAGCTGAACTATTTATCCCTTGCTCCTCCATAAACAGACACGAACAAAACCACCCTTAAACCCTCTGATAAGTTAACACTAAGAGCTTAAAACCCTAATCTTGAAAAGATCAAAACTTTTTTTTTTTAAATTGATCAGAACCCAAAATCACAAGATCAGTACCCTTGACCACTAAAAATAAATAAAAATGTAATCTTTCTAAGAACCCAGACAAGCTTAGACTAAACCCACTACAGAATCTCTGTAAATCTACAAACACTAAACAATATTTCTGCTTCCAAGATCATCAAACTATTGCAAGCTTCTGAACTATGATGACTTAAGCTCTGCCATTGCAGTGCAAAGTAAAAGCTGCAAAGAATTGAACAAAAAAGAGATTTTTTTTTTTCTTCCCTAATTTTACTGAGTGTGAAGTTATAATTTTCTTGCTGATGAGTTCTGGAATTAGGGTTTTGCCGGAAAAAGTTGGTGGAAATAAAGTTGAAAATTTTAAATAAAATAAAGTTTAATCCGAATTTAAAAAACTAATATCTAATATTTAAATTGCAATATTCAAAGCATAAATTTTGGTTAAGTAAATGGTTTGAAGTCCGTCTTGGAAATTTAATAAAATGGGTTTTTTAAAATGGGGAAAAAGTTAATGAAGGTGATTATAAAAATGAGAAATTTCTGAAAAGAAAATTCCTCCAAAATTTTAAATTCCTGGTTAATTATAAGAAAAGCTGTAAAGTTAACGTTGGAGCCAATTCCTAATTTTCCCACCTCTGACCTATTCTTTGTCTTTTTAGGTGAATTAAAGTTGACCATTTTGTTGAATGAGAGATGCCCTTTACTTTGACATATTTACTGCCACTGCCACTGTGCTTTTTACTGCCTACTGGGGTTAAAATTTAAAAAGCTCTGCACAAATTTTACTATGTCTACATAAGTATAGTAATTGGTCGGTCTAATAATGGCATAATTTTCCCAGATTAAACTAAGCTATTTCTGAGAAAAATATATATAGGAAATTTCCCTGGATTGCCAAGAATCCAGGAGATGCTGAAGATTGACCATCTTGGAAGGTCAACTTGGTAATTTTGGCAGCTTTCAGTCTGCAGATATCTGCAATATCTTTGTCTTGGCATTATGCTCCCATGGCTGGGGACAAGTGGAAGTGGAAATGGACTCTGGGTCTGGGCCATGGTGATGCTATTTGTTTCATAGATAATGGTACGATGATAAGATATATTATAGATAATTATACTCGATATAAATTAGCATACTATTAGTTAACACTTGTCAGATGGTTTATAACTTGCTCAACGGTAGTCTGACGAATTTCTCTTACGCAGCCCGTGTGATAAAAGAGTGACGCGCTCTTAAATGACACTTTAAATCAGTGAATAAGCTCGCTCATGCATTAGTTAAAGATGCTAGTTCTCAGTTTGGTCATTCTATTTGGATTTCTACTATTCCTTCCTATATTGAACATTCAATTTCTATGAGTTAATGAAGTCTTTTCCTTCAAAAAAAATAATACACTTTAGAATTTGTCAGAATTATGACATCATGTGATGACAGAATTGTATTTCTAGTTTTGAACTACATTCCATGATGTGATCATAGATTTAAGAATGATAATATGAACTCTTTAGAGAAAGAAGAAGCTAAGGACATGCATTCAGAGTTGAAAGTGAGAGAAATGAACACAAAAGAATTGCTAATAGATTCCATTGGTGTCTTTTCAATCATTATATTGGCTATACTCAAATTTACAACTGAATAATTAACTTATTTCATGGCTACTTAGTGTGGAAACATCTCTGGAGTTGGATATCTGAGGGTACCAATATGACAAACTAAGCCTCACTCTGGGCATAGCCTACAAAATCTTTCTAATGTAATATGTTATAGAATGTGGAAGCACCCAAAAAAAAAAAAAAAAGCCAGTGATATTCATGAGGAAGTGCTCTGCTTCTCTTCAAATTCTCTCCTTATTAGTTCAAATACCATTTCATTCCATGTATCAACAGGACCTGGCATGCACCAGTGCAAACAGTCCTGTGGTGGAGGCCGACCATCGGGCCCTCTTTTCGTTTTTTTGTTAGGATCAGGGCTTCGGTAGGGGCCAGGATGTCCATCATGGCGATACTCGAACATTCTTGTAATATCCATAAATTTCAACGCAGACTTGTTATTTTTCTTGTTGATGGAGCGTGCATAACCGGTGAACTGTTTCTCATGCATTATGTTAGTAAAGGGATTTTCAGCCAAATCACTTGCAACTACAGGCTTGACCTTTCCAGTGCATGATCCTCCAGTATTCCAGGCTCCACCCTCATAATGATCAGGTGAAAAGGTGCGCACAATGGTGAGACCATGGTATGTTGGATGTCTAACCAGGGCAGTGAGAATTGTTTCAACAGATATTCCAAAAGCTTCAATGTTATTGACTTTCTTTGGTCTTGATTTCTTGGGCCACCAAAGCTGTCCCCCCACAATCTCGTTGTTCAAGATATAAACAGATTGCTTTGCAAACCAGTGCCCAGAGGAGAGGACGACAACATCAAATTGGGGAATAAATCCCATGAAGACATCATCTGGAACATCAAGGTGGACCTTGGCCACACCTGCCGGAGCAAAACCAAATGGCTCAGATGTCTGGTTGACTAGCCACGAGGACCAGATCCGAACAATCATGGTAGATGTTGATCTAAAATAATAGCGTTGCATTCTTCTGTTCCCACGGTTCTTTGGAACTTCAAACTGAGCAAGCAAAAATGGAATCATGAAATGAGATAATTAAGCATGATTAAATAAAATCCCGTGTTGTAGAATCACCAAGGCCAAGATATGTCGCTACATTCATTTTTAATCAAACCTTGTAAATTCATGCTCTTTGAATGTAAGGACATTACTTCTCACACAAGGGTAACTTCCATAGGTATTTATGCATCAATTTCACATAGCCAAGTAAACCTCTATATATAAAACTATGAAATGCATGTTTGGACACACTTACTTTGGAGCTTATCTACTTGAAAAAGCCAAGTTAGGATTCACATTAAAACCTTTTTGGCATAGCCAAGTAAACCTCTATATATAAAACTATGAAGTGCATGTTTGGACACACTTTGGAGCTTATCTACTTGAAAAAGCCAAGTTAGGGTTCACATTAAAACCTTTTTGGAGTAGAAAAGAGGAAAACCTCTTGTATGCCAAAATTGAGGCTTTTGAAATAAGATCCGAACCTATACAAATTAGTGACACATTAATGGCATTTCCTAAAATTCTATATACTCAGTATCTTCCTAATATTTAAACAATTTTAGCTTCTAAATAAACTAAAGTCTAATATTATAACTTTGACAATCATTAATATAAATTATAAATAAGAAAAAAGTAAAAGAAATACAACAAAGGAGCAAGAATAGACCAATCAACCATATTCAAGGAACATGGTTAAAGAAAGAAGCAAATGAAAAATATAGGGAGAGCCATAGATGCAGTCCTTGTAGAAGCGCCATTGTGGGCTATAGTGTTTATTTTAGAGCTTCTACAAGGAATGCAGCCAAGCCTGCATGTGAGAGAAAGAGAGAAGTTCAAAAAAAAAAAAATTGACAATAGATGAATAGTTCAATTGAAAAGGGATTTCATCGCACATAAATCTATCAGATATCTGAGATAGCATGAGATCAATCATCAATGCTTAGCAAACCCATTAAGCTAAATCCACAAAAGCACATCACAGAAAGCTCACAGGCCATAACCTAACCTGCCAAAGTATACACAGTAATGATTCCATCTGGTTGCGAGCAACTGAATCGCCAATGAATGCTAACGTCTTCCCTCTCATTAATTCCAAGAATTTTTTGGGATTGAACCGAGGAAGGTCGCACTGATCAGGTTTCCAACGCCAGTTTTCATAATCTTTATCTGGCCTTCCATTTCCCTGGCAATTCTGCATCGGTGTTATAACAGGACACGAGTTGTTTGTGTACAATGGTCCAGTTGAATCAAAAATCCATTTCCCATGGTATAGATTACATTCTGCAATAATTACAAAAATGAAGCATTGTTTACATAAAATCTACATCCAAATGAAGAGGTTAAAATGAGCATTAAAAACTAGGAAGTAAGTTTTAACATAAGGCCCAGCCTTACTTATCTGTTTCATAGTTTTGTCAATATAAAATATGAAACAAGAAGTCCACTTTGCATATAAAGCTTGAAAAGCAAGAGTTCAGTCAACCAACATACTTGTATTTCTTGTTGGTTAAATTGTGCCATCAAGAATAGTCCTCTAGGCACTATCAAATATTTGAGTTCAAATAAAACGGCTACAATTAAGTTCAATTGGGAAAGGAGGTTTTGCAGACCTGAATTAGCCTGTGGATCGACCATGGTTGTGGGAGATGAAGATGTCACACCATCCTTCTTTCCTTTGTGGAGTGTAGAATCATTTCCGTATCTGTTTCCTTGTTTTACACCACTATGTTGAGGTTGAACTACATTTCCTTCAGAGAGACCCTGAGTACTAAGCGAACTTTTAGCAGTTTCTCCTTGCTCTGAATCAGGCACCACCGTATATTGGGGCTCGGAGGGTTGCTTATTATCACCATTACCTCCAATGTTATTCCGCTGATCATCACCATCAGATTCTTTCTCTTGTGATGCTGATGAATCTGAGTTTCTGAACACTCCAACTTCCCCATCTTTGTTTCTATGATCAACACCTCTACTGTCTTTGTTAAAATTTCTAGAGGTCCCAACGTCAGAACCATCTCGGTTGGCGATGTCTGCAACTATTCCACCATCAATAACCTTCCTTGAACTATCAACTCCATAGAAATTCCTACGAACAGAAGACTCGTTAGGTTGCAAGGCAAGGAGTGATGAACCAAGCAGTAAAAACAAGGCAAGGCCTCCAACTGAAGCCAGAATAGACAACAGTGTCTTTGGATAGTTTGTGGGAGGAGTTCCTTGAGCTGAAGCTAAAGGCATCCTATTCAAATTCGACTTCATGATCCAACATCAAACTCTTGCCCTTCAACAGGTTGTCAACAATGCAGAAATATCCACGCAATAAGTCACATCATGAAAACGAATCATCTATCCGATTTAAGCTACAAACTCATCAAAAGCAATAATCTAGTGATATGGTGTTTTCTAATGTTCATACACAACTTCAACCCATTTCCTCAGGAAATTCAACAAGTCCAGCGAACTAGCTGCAGAAATAGAAAAGTGCAAATCATGAATGGCCGATAGAAGTTACCAATAAAACAAACAAACAAACAATATTAGGAACTTCTACTTTCTAAAAAAATACAAAAATTCCTCGCACCCAAACAAAGTTGAGGCCCAAATTAGAAATTTTTAATAATTAATTAACGAAAGATACAAAGGCCATTGCAGATTCCTTCCTTTCTTTTCTTCTCCCTCAAGTCTCATTGGGAAGCGCAACCCCGCAGAGAAGAGGGAAAAGTGTAACCTGTAGCAAAAGAATGAGAGCACCGGCGATCCAGAATGGGTTACCGTAAATGCCGAGATAGCAAATCCACCTGAAATCTTCAAACTCGCCAAGCAAAACAACAAAAACACCACAGTGCAGAAAAATGATGATAATTTCAGCAAGGTGAGAGTGTCAAATCAAGAGTATGTATCGGATCAGCTGATTCAGTTGTATGAAATGGAATAATGCTCTAGAAATCGCAGGACACTATGATCCGATGGAATGGAACACAGTGCGTGGCACTAGAGAGGGGAAAGAGAGAGATTCAGGGGAGATTTAAGAGACTAATTAAAATTAATGGAATTTTTTAGGTCTGATCGCGAGCGTTTCTGACATTAAGCCATTAACGCTGCCATTACAGGCTCCACTTGAGCGTGTTCGTCAAGGAAATTTCTATGTCCTGATGTGGCAAATTTCCGTTTTGCCACGTCAGTCTTTATATGTATAAATATATAAAGAAATGAATATCTAAATTTAATTTCTTTTTTGTGTTACTTACTCTGTTCCAATGTAATAATATTAATAAGAGTGTAACTTTGTGTCACTAGACCATATAGTCTTGGCTATCTAAATCTAATCTAAATATATTTTGTGAGATTAAAAGATGTGGAGCTTTACAGTAGTGCATCAGGGCAGTTGGTTAACTTTGATAAGTCGAGCATCACGTTCAGTGCTAATACAATGCCTAATATGTGCAGTAATGTGGTAGGTATGTTTGGAGTTCGCTAGGCAAATGATTTCGGCCGTTATCTTGGCCTACCCTCCTTGGCTGGCCGTAATAAAACTGCAATTTTCCGGTATGTTTAGCAAAGAATGAGAGATCGGATTCATACTTGGCAGACAAAATTTATCAACAAAGCTGGCAAAGAGGTTGTATTAAAGAATGTGGCGCAAGCAATGTTGATTTTCACACTGACTGTTTTTCTCCTGCCCCAAGGTGTCTGCAACTCTATTGAAGATTGATGAATCGTTACTAGTAGAATAAGGGCACGGGAGATGTTCGGGGTTTGCACTGACTTAGCTGGTCATGCATGGCTCTTCCAAAATCTAATGGGGTACGGTATTTAAAAGAGTTCGTGATTTCAATGTTGCTTTGTTATGATACAATCCTAACTACATATGGCGTAGTATTTTATCATGTCAAGACATGCTCAGACAAGGTGTGGCTAGGCGTGTTGGTGATGGGAAAGATACGCAGGTTTGGGATTGCCCATGGTTGGCTGACAGTAATGACTCTTTTGTGAGTGCACTGTAAGTCGCCAGTTGTGGCATGGTTTTGATGTGTTTAATTGAAGGTCTTTCACGGGGTTCGTGGAGAGTTTTATTGTTGATTCGGACTCTAACAAGGCTATTAATATGCCAGCTCGCATGTGGGCTGTTCGCAAATTATGCCATGGAATCGTGTTCACCGAGAATGGTGAACACAAGGCAAAACGACGTCGTTTTTAGGCAAAAAAAAAAAAAAAAAAAAAAAAAAATCGCGGATGTGGAGTTAACGGCGCGCGTTTGATCAAATTATGAATTTTCTGTTATGAGATTATGAATTTTATGAAAATTCATAATCTCATAACAGAAAATTCATAATCGCATAACAGAAAATTCATAATCTCACAACTGAAAATTTATAATCTCATAACAGAAAATTCATAATCGTATAACAGAAAATTCATAATCTCATGGTTCCAAAGTGAATGTGTAGGCATGGTTCCAAAGTGAATGTGCAGGCATGGATTCATAATTTATGAATGTCCGTGATTTCGGACGGGAATATGTAGGCATGGTTCCAAAGTGAATGTGCAGGCATGGATTCATAATTTATGAATGTCCGTGATTTCGGACGGGAATATGTAGGCGTGGTTCCAAAGTGAATGTGCAGGCATGAATTCATAATTTATGAATGTCCGAAATTATGAATGTAATGAAAATTCATAATCTCATAACAGAAAATTCATAATCGCATAACAGAAAATTCATAATCTCATAACTAAAAATTCATAATCTCATAACAGAAAATTCATAATCTTACAACAGAAAATTCATAATCTTACAACAGAAAATTCATAATCTTACAACAGAAAATTCATAATCTCATGGTTCCAAAGTGAATGTGTAGGCATGGTTCCAAAGTGAATGTGCAGGCATGGATTCATAATTTATGAATGTCCGTGATTTCGGACGGGAATGTGTAGGCATGGTTCCAAAGTGAATGTGCAGGCATGAATTCATAATTTATGAATGTCCGAAATCTTTGTTCACCTCAAATTAAAGTGAAATCGCAAAATGTGAAAATAAAAAATAAAAGTCACGCAATTAATTAAGAAAAAAAAAAAAAAAAAACGGTGTACTAACACCGTTGGAACCGTGTTCACCATTCCGGTTCCATGGCATAACGTCCCAGGGCTGTTGGAGTTGCCGGAATGATACGGTGTGGAATGCCAAATCATGGAACATTGTGGAACTTAGGGGCCTGGTGGAATCCTTGAATCAAGCTTATTTGCAGTCTCAACCTTCTTTGCCAAATACGGTGATACCTATTGCCGGGTGGATGCCGCCATATATAGGCACGCTCAAATGCAATATAGACGCTGCTATTCATGATGATAGTTTGGGCTTTGGCGCTATGCTCAGGAACCATAATGAACATGTGATGATAGTTTGGGCTTTGGCGCTATGCTCAGGAACCATAATGAACATGTAGTGACTTAAAAGGGCGTTTGGTTGGAGGGAAAGAATTAGAAGAAAAGAAATTGTAATTTGGTGGGAATAAAGTAAAAATTCAAATTACGTTGTTTGGTAGGGATAAATAGAATTATTGAAATAAAGAAGGAAATAAGTGGTATAAAGACTAAAATACCCTTGTGTAATAATAATAGTAATAACAACCAAGGATAGTAATGTCATTTCATATGTTTTTCCTTTCTCAAATTCATTGAATTGCAATTCCCTCCAACCAAACAATGTAATTGAGACATTCACTGAATTGCAATTCAACTACAGCTAAATTACAGTGAACCAAACGCCCTGCTAGTAGTTTAAAAAAAAAAAATGAATAAGGTTCAAATTGGCCACTGAACATAACCTGAAAATGCAATTAGGCCACTGAACGAAAAAAAAAAAAAAAAAAAAAAAAAGTGCAATTAGGTCACTAAACACTCCAAATACGTGCAATTAGGTCACGGAACACTCTAAATGTATACAATTTCACCGGATAGCAGGTTACCATCAATTTTAGCAGGTTACCTGCTTACGTGGCAGTTGAGTTGGCATTTTTAATAATTTTTAATAAATTTTAATAATAATTTTTTTAAAAAATTGAAAAATTAAATTAAAAAAAAAACGATGGGGTGACCGGCGTGTTTTTTTATTTATTTATTTATTATTAAAATTTATTAAAAATGCCAACTCAGCTTCCACGTAAGCATGTAATCTGCTAAAATTGATGGTAACATGCTATCAGGTGAAATTGTATGGTGTTCAGTGGTCTAATTGCATTTTTTTTTTTTTCGTTCAGTGGCCTAATTGCATTCTTAGGTTACGTTCAGTGGCCAATTTGAACCTTATTCCAAAAAAAAATAAAAATATTAAAGTACTTATGGGCTGTTTGGTTCACGGAATATGCCTGAAATGGCATAGCATTCGCAGTAATAGGTCTATTTCTCTGTTTGGTAAGCACTTGTATTCCCAGAAACATTGTTCCCGGGAATGACATATTCCCCTTGCAAGGGGAATAGAGATTCCTGCTCCCCCCCCCCCCCCCCCCCCCCCCTCTCTCTCTCTCTCTCTCTCTCTCTCTCTCTCTCTCTCTCTCTGGTATTAGGCTATTCCTGAGTTCTCAGTAATAGCCTAAAGTTTCTATTTCCTATTTTACCCACCCCTAATTAAATTTATTTCCTATTTTATCATCACCATCGCCACCGCCGTCGCCACTACCACCACAGCCACCACCACCACCACCATCGCCGCAGTCGCCACCACCACCACCAGCCCCATAACTGCTGTTGTTGCCACTACCATCGCCACTATCACATATTTTTATAAAGATATTTATGTTGTTTAAAACATATTTCATTTCTATTCCTTAAATCAACCAAACACTGTAATATAATTCCTAAGTCTATTCCTTTCGCGAACCAAACAATAGAATACAATTCTTATTATATTCCTTGTCTATTACATTCCTTATAGAATAGCATTCCTATTACCTCAAAATTCATTCTGTGAACCAAACGTGTTGTTAGTGTTGCTATACTTTACATTTTGTGGGTAAAAATGAGATTGGATAACATAGTTCATAAAGATATGTATAATGTAAAATGAATATGAAATGTGTTATAAATATTATTATTATTATGGCCATTATCACAAGACCTTTCATTTGCCTTATATTTATTCCATTATTTATGTTATAGAAAATGAAGGGTTATATGGATGTATATATATACATGTTCAAGGCATAATGAAAGAGAGAACTTGTGTTCTTGAGTTCTACATTCTTGTGTTATGTTTTTCTCTCTACTCTTCCATTCCATATTGCAATATTCTTCATACATACAATCGATGCGTTACCATACAACTATCACGCGAGAACTAACAAGTTGATAGGCCGAATTACAACACGTTATCAGCACGAATCGCCAACATATTCCTCGGTGAACGGTATGCTCGGACATGTTATAATACATGTTTTTATACTAGGCAAGCATGTTCATAGGTTTCATATAATACATGTTTTTATATGGCACATGTTGATTCTACACCTCTTGATATGATTATGAAATACATGATTGATATGATACATATTGATTCTAAAATTTGAAATATGAATTGCACATACCGGTTCATATATATATGATTGTGTAAATTCCTGAATATATATTTCCAATTTTATTTTTGATTATTAAAATTGAAAGAAAAGCATGTGATATATATGTTTGTGTAAATAGATGGGGCTTTTCGTATGAAGATGCAATGTATGTATACATATTATTTTCATTTCGCATACTTAATTTGTATGTTATATACCCTATGATGTAGTGCATTATTATGTTTTTATGATATGTCGTTTGCATGTGATTAGCAATTAGTTTTTGTGCCGATTAGGCAATGAATGAATGGTTTTTAATTAAGATTGTTAAAGTTTATTTTGTGGAAGCTTAAGAGTGAGTAAGACTTTAAAGCTTAATTGATGACTTGGGAGCATCAATTCGGTGTATTGGAGAATGAAACACCACTCGTTGCCTGTAGCGCGAGTTGATGCTATAAACACGAGTCGATGCTTGCTGCATCAATTCGGTGTTTTCGCACAGATTCGTGCCTTGTTGCTTGTAGCACGAGTTGATGGTATAAACACGA